AAACCGCTACCGTTATGAGAAATTAATGTTATTCTTTTTTGATCTATTTTTCCTAAACGTTGCAACATTTGATCGATGCAATCTTTACCCACAAATATTTCTACTATATTCCTTAATTTATTATAAAATTCTTCTGGAACACTATCAGTGGGATTTAAATCTGGAAAGTTATGTTTTATTCTGTCTAACATTTTTCTTAGTTTTTCTAAATTAATTAACGTGCAAGAATAAGGAATTGCTTTATTCGTTTCTTTTTCGCTATAGGTTTCGCAATTCCATGCGTATAAACAATCATCGTGAATTGTTGGAAAAACGTTTAGTTTTAGAGGTGAAACTTGCGTTACCGCATTATCATCTCTGGAAGTTCTCCATACGTTTTCATCGTAATTATCTTCTATTTCTGTAATGCCTAAGGTTTTGTTATTTATTCTGAGACAGAAATGTGATTTATGTAAGTAAAATACCCAATCTAATTCTTCGGATACTTTCTTTGGTTGAAAATGTCTATGTTTGGGCATATAAATTTGAAAATAAGTATTAAATTTCTTATTGAATTCACAGATTCTAGCAGTTGTCATAAATTTCTGTTTGATTTTGAAAAACTGTTTATGAAATCTTGAAATTCTTTCGTGTAGTCTTCGTTTAAAACGATTTTTGCACTTTACAAAGCAGTATCCATCGCTCGGTATATAACAATTTACACCGCTATATTCATTGATCTTTTTGAGTAGGGTAACACCACTACCCTTTTTTGATCTTTTTATTTCTTTGAAATTGTTTCTACGTAAAATGATTTTTCCTGAGAAATACCAATAAGAAGCATTTTACATCCACCGTTGCGAAGAAATTGTTAAAAGTTTTGGCATTAAAGCCTACAAATTGCATGTATTGTTTGTGTTCTCCGTCTTGAATGATCTCTCCATCTAATTCAATTTGTCCTTTAAATGTTTCAAATTTATCAGAGATAAGGTTAATAATACTGAAAAAAAGTTCATTCGATATGAATGTTTCATCGTCTAAAATTTCAATTTTATTCATATTTTTTAAGCAACTATTTTTAACTAGGAATTTTTAACTTTTATTGATGACATTTCTACATCAAATTTATCTAACATTTCATTGAATTTTTCTAATTCTTCAATGGATATGTTCTTATCTTCTCTGGATCTTTCGAAAAAAATGAATAATTTATTAAGATAATTTAAAATTTCTGTTTTCTTTTTATAATGAGGTTTCTGTTTTGATGTAAAACCTAAAGTAATCAATCCACAAGATGAAGTTTGAACGGCAGTGAACGAAGTTTGAACGGCAGTGAACGCGGCTAATACAGTTGGGACAATTATTGGAAGCATTAATCCACCGGTTACGGCTGTTGCCACCGTTATCCCTACTGTTAGAACTGTACTTAATGTTCTGAAAACAGAATCAATTCTACTCCATGTTTTTCTACATTTGTTGAAGTGTTTTAGTTTTTCTTTTAGTTCGTTTTGTTTTTCTATCATGTATTGTTGTCTGCTTTCTAGTTCCATTTTTTAGGTAATTAAATTAAATGAATTTCTGATAAAGCAAAAGATGGAAAGTGTTTAACATCTACAATAGGCTGCCCAGTAAGATGTCCACCAGGCAGTATTTTTTCATTATCTGTTATAATTATTTCAAGTTTAATAATAAAAACTTGTACAGTAACAAACGATATTAATTTTGTTCTTTCGAATCATTAATCTTATTCAGATGAACTGAAAATTTTGGTTTTTCGATATTGATTTTTATCATACATCTACAAGTATATATACCTCCAACTTCTAATCTATCATTGCGTTCAATTATTGATGAAAATATTATAAATTCTTTATCTTGTTGACTTTTATGAATATCGATTGAGGTAAATAAATCAGTTGAAGAGGTATATTCGAATGAATAACTATTATTAACAAAATACGTATTCAAAGTCTATTGTTCGTAAAAAATCATATTTCCTTCTTTTTGTGGTTCTGGATATCTAATAATACTTACTGATGGTGGACTTTCCGTCTCCAATATCATATCAAAATCACCAAATGAAAGATAATCTTCTTCTTTATCTGGTATGATTAACATTCCAAACCTATCTATATATTTTCCACTCATTTTAATTTCATATAAGTTTCATATTCCTAAATTTCTACATTGTCTCTACCATTGATAAACTGAAGAACTTTTTTAGCGTTAAATCTTTTAGGCATATGTAAGTTTTGTCTGAAGAATATTGAATCAACTTTTACCTGAAAAGGAAAAGTTATTTCAATTATAAGTTTTCCTCGGAAAATAACACTAGAATATATACCGAGAAACATTTCATAGGGATTATCACTACTATGTTTATATACTCTAATATTTGCTGTAAATCCATATTTTTTATATTCATACTGTTCTGATTTATCAATTAAAGTAGTAACAGAAGCATCTTTATTACTCAAATTTCCAAAATGGAAGATTGAAATAATATGATTTATTTTCTTTCTTGAGATACTTTTCTAATGCGACTATATTTTTGTCCTGTTTCAAAACTAGGTTATTAATAGTGGTTATCTGTTGTTGAATAACACTATCATCAATATTTTGTATTTGTTGTTGAATATAGGTTTTAATTTCGCTATCATCAATATTTTGTATTTGTTGTTTAATATTTCTTAGTTCTTTTTGTAATTCACTATTAAGTTTAGTTTCCAGAGCATTTAATTCCTGTTGAAACGTATCTTCATTTTCACCTGGAATGTTATCTATTAATTGTTGAATGTCTAATTTTTGTTTTGCAAACTTATCCTCTAATTTAGATATTAATGAAATTAAATTGTGTAACTCAGTTTTATTCGCAACGTCGACCAATTGTTCTTGAATAAAACTTATTATACCTTTTCCCTCTTGTTGTAGTTTAGTATCATTAATAAAATTGTTATTATTTAGTTGACGTTTCAAGAATCTTTTCACATTACTTATTTTATCTTCTAAATGGTTTTTATTTACTTCAATTGAATTTATTTGTTCCTGTAAATATTTCTTGTGAACAGCGTCATTATCATTTTCCGGAGACTTTAAATTAGTTACTTTGAAATTGTTCATATCTAAATCACCTTGAAGAGTGTCTCCGATTTGATCCACAAAGTAAGGTTTCGCTTTATTTATTCACGCTGTATTGTTAGGTTTTTTAGTTTCTAAAGATAAAGAACCTAAACCAAACTTGTTCGCCATTTTTATTAAGTTAAATTTGTTACAATTTCTTCAAACTGTTTTCCTAAACTTAATTGATATAATACCCAAAGTGAAAGCTGACCACAAAACTTTTGTCCCGGTAATTGAATTTGAAATGTTGAACATTTGATTGGTTGATTAGTCAATTTCATTATCTCTTCAGTGGGTTCTAATCCAAAAGAATCGAAGAAATATAAGTCATTTGAAGAGTGTTTGTACAAAGCAGAATGATAAACTCCTTTTTGATCGGAAGTATGTATATTTGTTATAGCGTAAAATTTACCTTTCTTATATTTCAGATCATTTATTTCATCTCTCATGCAATAATAAAACGGTGATATATTTAACTCATTCGCCCATCTCATAAGTTGAAAGTTTGTGGTTGTATCGGTTCCATATTTATCGAGAAAGATATTCATTTTTAAGTCAGTTTTTTTTAAGTTCGTTTTGATAAAACCTACCTATGATTTGTTCTTTACCTTGATTGATCAATTCATATGTCGGAGGTGATGTGGTGTTTACTTTATCAACGATGAATATTTCCTTTGTCCAGTATCCAACGTAACCTTTTTCGAAAAAACTCGATCTCCTACTTTAAATTTGGGTTTGATATTTAAATTCTTTATTTCATTTTCGTAGTTATGTTGTGTGTTATAATATTTGGATTATTCGAGGCTTGTGTTGGTGTGTTCACCTATAGATGAATGAATTTTGTTATTGTATTCATCTACAACCACTGGTAATATTTTAAGCCATTTATTAAGTCTTTATTTTTAAGAGTCCTGTTAAATCTTTCTATTACTACAGCTACATTATGCGTGCTGTAAATTTCAAACCCAAGTGATTTCATATTTTTGTTATAAAATTCACTTCCTTTATCTACCCACAGTTTTTGTGGATGTCGGTTAGATTGTTTCATAATCGTTTCAAATGCGTGTTTGATAATCCTGTTTTGTTTTTCAAAGGAATAACCCAAGCATATCTCGTATACAAATCTATAACTGTTAAGCAATATTTATATCCTCTTTCGACTGGCATATTAATTAAATCGGCTGACCCTATTTCATCTTTTTCAAACACTTTAACTTTTAAAAAGTTTTTAGTTTTTCTAAATTCTTTATGAATTTCATCCCCTAATCCCATGCCTAATTTCATCTTCGCTTTTAACAGTTTTATGATCAAAGCCCTTCTCTCTTTGAAAGTTGGATTTGGAATATTTTCAAGTTCGATTATCATTAGTCTGTCTGCTTCGTGTCTGAAGTTTATGTCTTTGTTTCTGTATAGTATGTCGTGTTTAAGCGCAGCGGCGTCAACTCTATTGACTGGTTCTTCGCCCGGTTTGGGTTTATCGTTTTCGTCTAATCGCAGATCTAACATAGTACCTGGACAGGTGTAATTATGACCGGGGAGATCTTTTTCTCCGGGATATTTCGCCCATGGAAATCCAGGAAGAGAACCCAATGATTTTTGTATATCTCCTGAACCAAAATAAGTTTTTGGAGCGTGAGCGATAATCATTTTTATCCTATAACTTTAAAACCTTTTCCTTTCCTTTCTTCTAATCTCCTGTTTCGCAGATCTCTTATTATCGTAATTCTTTCATCTCGTTTGATTGTTTCACTGTGTCGCTTATACTCTTTCCCACTTCCGCGATTGAGCCGACGGCTTTCGCTCCGGATGAAATAAGTGATTTGTTGTTTGAAACAAAGCTAGCTACTTTTGGAATTATTTTTGAACCTAGAGAAAATATTGATGAAAAGATACCGTCGCCCGAATAATCTTCGAATTTGTGTTTTAGAATTATACTCATCCTATTTTTAAATGAATTAATTTAACGAAGAAATTTTGGTCTGTTTTTTTCCAAAAATCTCCCTTTCTAGAAGTTTCTAGACTAAAAATAACATTATTTCAAACGAGGCTATTAAAAATGTTATGTTATTTTATATAAGGGTATTTTTAATATGCTTTTTTTGATGGAATGTAGGGATTGATTGAAGGTGTTTTGGTGTAAGAAATGTAGGGTGTATTAGGTGTCAGAATTTATGAAATGTGGGGGTGTTTAGGTTTTTTTGGGAGGGAATTGATGGAATGTAAGGAGTTTAGGTCTTTTTGGGGGGCTTTCAATTTGGTCGCACTTTCCCCATGAAATGAAACGGAATGGGGGAATCCACGTGCGACCAAATTGAAAGCCCCTACACTACTTCTGAAAGATTCTATATATTTATAATATAATTTCACATTTTTTTAGATACTGACCAGTCTTTGGAGCAGCAGCGGGGTAGTGATCAGTCATCTACTTTTAAGCCTTCAAACTCTCATGGTACCAGAGGGAGCAGGGGGTATTGTCACCCGAGAGCGGGCAAAATCTGAGTTAACTTTTCTAGAGGCATTTTTCCTCAGAAATCCGAATCTGGAAGGTAAAGTGCCGGGTCAGGGGGCGTTTTTGAGTTATTCAAGGTCAAAGGTCGCGAAAGGTCAAATAACGCAAAAAATGTTAAAAATTGAGAATTTAACTACAAAATGTGTACAAATTCATTGATATCATCTAGAAATTGGCAAAAGCCCTTTAGTGTGAATCGGCACTATCTGTAAGTCCCAATTCTTTGAGGCAATCCAGGTCAAGATGGAAAGACGGATCTCATTGATCATGTCATAAGCAATATCAAGTTGTTGTTAAACTCCTATCGAAATAAATCATTTACTAGTACATGTACATGCATGAAACAAATTTAACTAACAATTTGAAAATCTCTGAATCAGAGTAGGCCTAATTCGTCTAAAACGCCGTCGGCTAAGTGTTCAATCGATAATCCTTCAGGCTCACCGTCAATCACGTCGTCGAACAGTTCTTCGTCAACAGTTTCTCCTGAGTCCAGATGGATTTCCTCATCGAGTTCCACTAAAAGGTCCGATAACTCATCTGAATATGGTGTCTTCACCCATTTAATCATTAAATCTTTCGTCCAACCATTATTTGACGCGGGGGGTAGAGACATAAGAGGCTGATCAGACAGCCGCCACACTCTAGCAATATAGTTGGCACGCTGTATATGCAGTACTAAGGATGTCAGACACGAGGGGAGAAAACATAGGTCGACTATCTTTCTCTGAGATTTCAGGGTATTCACTTTACTGTGTACAGTGTTCAGTTTCTTCTGATTTTGATCGTAATTTTTCTGAAGTTCTGCCAGGCAACTACTCAATGCTGTTTGTCGATATTCATTGATTTTCTTCAACGAATCCTCGGCTATATTCTTCACTGTTTTCAATTCTTCTAACTTACGTTTCAGACTGTCTTTCTGATCTTTGTAATTTTCTAAAATGACGTCTTTAGAGTCTTCGATATTAAGAAAATAATGGTTTTGGTGTTGACCAAGAAGGCAAAACACAAAACACAAAATGGTGTTACGGTCTTCACAGAAACATTTGAGCTCCTCCTTAGGATGTTTGGAGCAGTAATCTGTATCTCCTGTTCTGTTTGTTGAACTGGTTGATGGAGCAGATAGATAAAAATTTGTTGAAAACTTCCTCACCCCGCCATCAGGAATTTTGCTGATTTTGTTACACATTTGATGGTGTTCCAGCTACCCGCCAAATTGGAACTAGCCAGGTCTTCCAGACACTTCCTACAAAATGTATGATGACAATCCAATAATTTAGGTTCCTGGAATGGTCCAAGACATACAGCACATTCAAACTCTTCTACATTCCCATCCATTTTGATTTAGAATGCTGAACAATTGTATAATCTTTATGGTACGTTATTATATAATCGAATCTCTTATGTCATGTTTTTATCAACCCGAAAACTGAACAACGTAATAAATATAATCCGAAGACCAGTTAACAATCCACCATAGTTTCCCTTGACAACTAAAAAACACCTTGTTTGTAGTTTAAAGTTTAAAGATCTCCAATCCTATGGTAATAGTAATATAAAGTGTCTCCAGCATTTCCAGATTTATACCTCCAGTTTTGGTTAAAGGGACAGATGTGCCATTTTAGAGAGTTGATTTTAGTCTTGAAAATATGTAAATACTCTTCAGAAGTACTAGAAATGTACGAAAATTGCATATTCCCTTCAAAATACCTTGTGAGTTTTACTCACTTAATCTAAATATGTCTTTTCTATATATCACAGAGTATAATCTTAAAATGACGAGTCATCATTTTGGCATTCAAACGCAGAATTGAATTGGACACACATGGAATTGAAGGCGCATCTGTCCCTTTAATGAAGTAAAATTTGTAGAATTTCAAAATATTCGAGAGGTAGACTAATAAATCATGCCAATGATGTTAGTTTCTTAAAATTATAAAAACCACCGAGAGTTGCCTTGTATTTCTAGATTTAGTGGATCATTCTCCTGAAAATGTTTTGAAACTTTAAATTTGTTGTCATAAATTTTGATTTAAGCTGATCAAAAGATAAATAATAAGGCTGTAATTGAACCCTACTATTTTGTATTTGAACATGTAATTATTTGATCAGGTAAGACTAGAATCGTATTAGCTAAATAGATGGTGTTCTAAATATAAGCATATTGTCATTTTAATTTATTGTAATGTTCACAATGTCAAGCTATTACAAACTTCATCTTCACAATATCAAGCTATTACAAACTACATACTCACAATGTCAAGCTATTACAAACTTCATCTTCACAATGTCAAGCTATTACAAACTTCATCTTCACAATGTCAATCTATTACAAACTACATCTTCACAATGTCAAACTATCACAAACTTCATCTTCACAATGTCAAGCTATTACAAACTACATCTTCATAATGTCAAGCTATTACAAACTTCATCTTCACAATGTCAAGCTATTACAAACTTCATCTTCACAATGTCATGACCTATTTTGACTTTTCGTGACCTTTAACCTGGATTACCTCAAAGAATTGTGACCTATAGATAGTGCCGATTCATACTAATGGGCTTTTGTCAATTTCTAGATATCAATGAATTTTGTACACATTTTGTAGTTAAATTCTCAATTTTTAACGTTTTTTGCGTTTCGTGACCTTTGACCTCGAATAACTCAAAAATGCCCCCTGACCCGGCACTTTACCTCCCAGATTCGGATTCCTGAGGAAAAATGCCTCTAGAAAAGTTAACTCAGATTTTGCCCCTCTCGGGTGACCCCCTTCTTCTTCTGGTCTAGTATTGTATTTCCTCAAACACTGGCGTAGGCAACCACATTTTTAACCACTATGATGTTACCTACGAACATATGCTTATTACAAATTTTGGCTGTACCAGTTTCAATTTCCTTTTGGCAATACCAATTTCATCTTCCTTCCGACGCCACTGAGACATAATGCTATTACTTTCGCCTGTGTCATGAATTTTGGGAAACAGAGCAATATACAGCCTCAACTTGCATCAGTGGTCACCTCCCTGTAACACGCCTCCGCTTGTTGCGGTCGTGGTCAGCTCCCCCAACCCCGGCCCAGCTAGACCAGAACCTATATTTTTTCACATTTGGTTGGCTAGGAGTTAAATGATACTGATAGTTTTCATTTCCAGTGCTCTATATATTTTCAGAGGGACAAGGCCAAGTTGAAGAGTGTGCTACCAACTACAACCAAGCCTGCAAATTAATGGTTTTCGTATTCTCAAATCCAAACTAATGAGCATAAATAATAAATTTTACCTTTTTGCAGAGTGATTGATCCTGACAATTCACCAAGAGTGAGAAAGCTAGAGCAAACAGTGGAGGAGTTAAGATCGGGGCTGAAGGCCTTGAAGAAACGTATGAAATATATTGAAAAAAATAGTTGAATGTCCTCTGATGAAGGGGTCAGTCTGAGCCCTCGTCCATCTACACCACGTGCACTGAGTCCACCACTAGCATTGAGTCAACCACTGACACTGAGTCTACCACTGGCAGTGAGTCCACCACTGGCACTGAGTCTAAGTGCAAGTATAGCAGAATCTCAGCAAGGGTTGAATTCTGTACACGATCTTGAAGAATTGGTCCTTCACTTGGGACAGGATTCACCAGCCTGTGTCATAAAAACCCTGTCTCTTAAGTTATTCACTTCGCAAGAGTTAATATCAAGTTCCATATCAGGTAAACGCTCAATAAAATCTGGTGTCATCCTGCGTCCGCCATTGGAACAGAATAGACTAAAACAACTGGAGACAATTGTAAGACGAAGATGTCCTCAAATGACACATAACGTTCAAAAGGTGTTGCGAAAAAAACAAATGAAAGACGGTGTAAATAAATAGTTATACCAGATGTGGATGTAGTAAAAGACAATTAACTATTTGTGTTCAATGTTGTGTTTAATAATATCAGATTATTATTATTAATTATTTCAGTCAATTATTTATTGACAGTTCATGAATTTGGTTCACGAACAGTTCATGTATATTGTTCGTGAATAAAATACACGAACAAATTATACATGGACTTCAAAATTTGTGTCCCGTTTAATTATCATGAGTAATTCATGAAGTGATTTATGAACATTCATGAACCTTGTTCTTGAACTGTTCATGAATAGTTCATGTATAGTGCATGATGTTTTCACAGGGATTGGCCTCATCCCCTCGTCTGTTCACTAAATTAACTAAGGTTATGTTTTCTGAATTAGGGAATAAAGGCCATCTTAATTGTTCCTTTATTGATGACAGTTGGTTATTTGGGAATTCTGTCTCCGACTGCAGAGCTAATGTTATTGACACCATAGTAATGTCTGTACAAGCAGGTTTCACTATCCAATATGAAAAATCGGTGTTTTGCCATGACGGAGAATAAAAATCTTAGATTCTGTCAGTATGACTGTAAACTTAACACCCTCTAAAGAGGAAAAAATTAAAAATATGTTTATCTATTTTAAAGGTTAATTGGTTGACCTTTCGAACATTTTCTCAGTTAATTGGATTAATGGTAGCTGCTCAACCTGGAGTCAAATATATTATCGTTGTTGTGATAATTATAAACCAGCCATTTTAAAGCAACATCAAGGTAATTATGGTGTGTATATTAGATTACCTGCAGACTGTTTATCAGATATTAAATGGTGGTACGAGTCTTCAGTCAAATCCCTGATATCCACTGAGCCTCAGTTGGTTATTCAAGCTGATGCTAATCTTAAAGGATGGGGTGGAGTATGTAATACCCAAAGAACTGGTGGTATTTTTTCGCATTAGAAATTACTTAGAATTGTTAGCTGCACAATTTTCCCTATATTCTTTCTGTCGAGATTTAAGCAATATTAACGTTCGGTTGGAAATTGATAATACAACTGTGGTATCTTACATTAATCATCAAGGTGGAAAGATTGATACATTTAATCATCTTATTAGGGAATTTCTTCAGTCCCTCCTATCGAGAGGGAAATTGAATTATCAGCTATCACTTACCTGGCGTTTTGAATATTGGGGCTGATTATGAAAGTAGACATCATGCTGATAATACTGAATGACATCTATCCCCATCTGCTTTCAAAATTTTGTGTGATTGCTGGAGCATACCTGATGTAGACTTGTTTGCTACACGTATTAACACTCAACTTGATGTATTTTATTCCTTTCGACCTGATGCTAATGCCTTGGCAGTAGATGCTTTTATGCAATCACGGAAAGGAATTTTTTTTTATGCATTTCCTCCTTTTTGTCTCATAGGATTATAGTATTGAGTAAAATCTAACAAGAAGAAAGTCAGGGTTTTATAATTGTTCCTTGGTGGCCTTCTCAATATTGGTACAGTAAGTTAATTCGCATGTTGACTGATAATCCCTTTGTTTTATCCAGGTTAGATCTAATACTCAGTCATCCAAATAAAGATCCCAATGTTCATCTACCAAAGATGAAACTTCTTGCAGCCCGAGTGTCGGGATGTTATTCTCAGGTCGAAAAATAGCTGAAAACATACTATTATCCTTATGGAGACCAACAACTAAACTCCAATACAATGTCTACATCAAGAAATGGTTTTGGTACTGCACTGAGAGATCTGTGGATTCCCTTTCAACTTCTATAGATCATATTATTGAAGTTTTGACCCATTTATTTCAACAAGGACTGTCTTATAGTGCTATTACGTAGTGTATTGTCCAGTATTATATCTATTGATAGAAACCTGATGGATCTCTACCAATTGTCATTCGTTTTTTAAAAGAAGTGTTTAATCTAAGACCAGCTTTGCCTCGTAACAAATTTATTTGGGATGTGTCTGTTGTTTTATCCTGTCTTAAGGAATTATCACCCGTAAAGGATATAACTTTGCGGTTATTAACTTTAAAATGTGTTATGTTGATTGCTATTATTTCTGGACAGGGTATCCAGTCTATTCATTTATTTGATGTTAGGAATGTTCATTTTGTTAATTCTGGTGTTTTGATTAACTGTGGAGAACTATTGAAGAAAATAGACCAGGCTATCATCAGAAGCCACATATCCATCTGATTGTAAGTTGTGTATTGTAACAGTTATGAGCGAGTATTTAAATAGAACTGTAAACCTGAGAAGTAGAAACAATCATAAACTTTTCATTAGTTTTGTTAAACCTCATAATGGTGTTATTCGAGATACTATTTCAAGAAGGGTTAAAATAGTTTTAGCCCCGTTTGGGGTTTCTTTCTTTCTGTCTTTTTTTGTTCCCTACAGTATAAGATCTGCATCTTGTAGTGCTGCTAACAGGGCTAAAGTTCCCCTCAAATCTATTTTGGATACAGTTGGGTGGAATCAGGATTGCACTTTTCGAAAATTTTATGATAAACCCTTGAGCACAGAGGGATTATTTGGTGGAAATTAGAATTTGATATGTCAATAACCGTTGGATTTATTTACCTTAAAGGGTTTAGTTTTGTAAAAAAAATTAAATTGTATGTAAGATAATGTGTACTACTCGTTTGTTTAGTTGAATTTAAACAAATTTTGTTTTTAGAATGTTTGTTGGTTCATGGTTCCAACTTTGAAGTCCCTTAAGACTTTACAACATAATGCACTTGGCTTCTCTACACGTTCAATGATATCTAAATCGAGAAGTTCGTCTAATTTTTTTCCACCTTGTCACGTAGATTAAACGGAATTCTTATTAAAGGCTAGATCACAGATTCCATATCCGGGTCTATTGTCATCTTAAGTTGAAAGTCTTTCAACTTACCAACACCTGTGAAACATTCGGGGTATTTCTGAAATATGTCCTTGGGTGCGGTTCCGTTTGTACGTTTTGAATAAAGTTCAGTACACCAAGTTTCAAGGTTGTGTCAGGGCCTAATAACGCTCCTCCTTCTCCGTCTATTACCACAATTCCACATTTTGAATCGTTCTATTGTTACAAATAACAGTTGCTGTAAATGTACCAGCTATCTTCAACGGTTTCGGACTACCATAAGCGAAAAGCTGCTTTGTCGACTTCGACGACACGCACACAACACCTTTCTTCTTTAGGAAACTCCACAATTGGCTCCCTAGAATATTACACGACGCAAATGAATCGATAATCATCTTCAAATCCACAGTTCTCACATTAACTGTGATCTTCTCGGTAACAGAATCAATCTGGTCAACACTGAACGCATATTTATCTTCTTCCACCCATTGAATCGGAGGTTGGTCGGACACTTGCTGAAATTTTCCTTGATAACGTTTAGAATGTTTATTCCTATCTTTCGTCTTGCACTGCTTTTCTTAGGGTCGGTCCTCAAGTGACCCTCAGGACCACAGCTATAACAAATCGATGATGTTTTATAATGACCAGGGTTAGTTTTCGGGAATTTCTTTTTGACAAATTGTATTTGATTCGTATAACTTTTCACCTCTTGCATGTGATTTTCGATAGCCTGTCTAGCAGAATCTTCGAACGCTTTCACTGTTGCACGAAGCATTGTAAGGTTGAGAGTCTTACCCTTCTCAAGCAATTTACGTCTCAAATTGTGATTCAAGCACTTGTCGACAACCTGATCTCGAATCCGTTCGTCAATCTGAGTTTGATCTCCGAAATCACAAGTTTCTGCTCCGGGTAATAAATTGTTCAATAGTATCATAGGGTAACTGAGCAGTCCTTAGAAATAACGATCTTTCAAACGTGGCATTGGGGCTTAAAATATTTGTCAAGGGCTTTCACTGCTTTTTTATATTTGTCATCACCAGTTCCCTCAGGCAACGTAAAGAAAATATAGCTATAGCGACGTCTCCTTCCTGAAAATTTCCTTTGTTCGCGATGCCATTAACTTCACGCGTTTAATTTTGGTAATATTCTCTTAATCCACCGTTGCCAAAATTGTTTGACAAGTTCCTGCACTCCGGGGGTCGAACTTAAAGTCGTCCGAACACTCAGAAATTAAATGAAATCAATAGAGTTTTACGTCCTACTTTTCTGCACCATGTGGGGTAATGAAGACGCCATGCCGGATGCAATGAGGGATAATTTTGCCATGACAGCGGCATTAGCCTGCTCTTTTTCGATTTCCAACTGTCAAGGAATCTTTAACGTGCATAGCGTATAGCTTACGGGGCCTCAGTTTATTGTCCCATCCGAACTACTAGACGCTTTTTCCATGTAAGCTCCTCTTACCTGCATCACTGACATGGAGAACCTGGTTCGAAAAATCTGAAGGTATCATCTCGACCTATTCCTGGATTGAACCCTGGACAAGCGTCAAACTCACTGAGCCACCGCGGCTCCCTGTCCACTGAAAGGTCCGTTGTCCACTCAATTGTCCGAAAAGGATATGGTTTGGTGTCGTCTCCCTGGTAACATAGAGGACGAGAGTTAATTAGGCCTTCAGCATTTAAAAACAACAATTCTTCGCCCGTTACGTCTGCGTCACCTATTACAGCTTTGATTGCCCGTTTAGATTGCCATGAACTCCACCGAAACAGGGGGAAAGGTGCGGATTGAATTTCCATCCAATGTTGTTATTTACCAAAGGGTCACATATCCCAGTCTGATCCAAAGCACGAATCAAGACACCCAATTCACTTTCTATGCCAGTAAAGTCAGATCTGTTATCGGAAACGACGCTAATGGGTTTCCCACGTCGATTTGTAAATCGCGAGAATGCAGAAGATAAGAAAGAAACAGTGTCCATGGACCACGCCATTTCTAAGTGTACGGCGCGTGATGATAAGCAGGTTATAACAAACAAAGAACGTTTAGATCGAGATTTACCCCTACCTTGCTTAGTGTGAAAAGGTCCAACATAATCGATGCCAATTCTTGCGAAAGCGTGAAGTGGGTTTCCAAGGTGATACGCCATGACTTGCACTGCTGGTTTCCTGCGACGTCTAATACATTCAGCGCAGGGTGACTTAATTGACTTTACCAAATTACACTTTAAACAGAAGTGTTCTAATATTGAACGCCTTTTTGTAACAAAAATAGAACTCCAAAAAGGTGTCAACAGAACATGAGGGGTTCTAACGAGAACACATGGTATTGATGGACTATTTTAGAACACATAGTGTCCCAATTTAGAACATTGTTGTTCTCTTTTCAGAACACATGTGTTCTAGATCAGAACACATTGGCTGCGTTCAGAAAAAGTGAGAACACCTGGTGTACCATTCTCAGAGCACTATAAAGGTGTTCTTAACAACACCAAAATAGTGTGCGCTCCAAAGTTACAATTTTAGACGTGTCCGACGTGTTCTTAAGCCAGAATCTTTCGTTTTTGCTCTAAAATAAAAGAAGAAGTAAGAAAATAACTAAATTGTTTATTTGTAATAAAACATATAAACATTAAAAACACTTAAAAATAATAAAATTGCGCATATCGTCCCTTTCAAACATACTTATTAAGTCATGCTACTAAGAACGTGATCAAATTTTGGATCAACTGTAGTGAATCGGCACATAAAATAGAGAGGTGAACAATTAAATAATGCTTTTGAAATGAAAATCTATTTAAAATGAATACATAGGCAACTATAAAACAGAAACGTCGACGCTAAGATCAACAGGTTGTAATATTTATAGGTAGTAAGGTATATACAAATGTAAGTCGACAGGTCTGCAGGTCGGCGATTCCTTAGATCTACAGGTTGTTCTATTGGTGGGTAGTGAGGTAAATAAAAATGTAGGTTGGCAGTTCGGCCAATCCTGAGATCAATAGATTAGGAGGTCGGTTTGCCGGTATGCGGACCACATAATTCATTTGTTTTCAGTTTACATGTAGTACAGAAATTTCTTTATATGATCTCACATGAAACAATATTAACAAGATATGGAAGTGATCGTAGAAACATTGAAACAAGTTGAAATGTCAAATTCGATCCGTATAAGTCCATTTTGGTGATTTTTCACTTTTTATAACAATTGTATAAAATAAATCATTCTGCATCTTATGATAATATTCGTTTGACCCTTATCCCTTTAAAAAGGGGAGATAATCCCAATAATCCATTTGGTTTATCTCCACAAGTCTGATATCTGAAAGCACGAATAGAATATGTCCGGACATATACGCTTTGTGCACAAAATATTTAACTTTTTTTATTTCTATTGGTGGACATATTCCATTTTCGCATCAAAAAGCACATGGTTGAAAAAGGTTTTTGGTGCATTAAATTTGAAAACAAAAACAAGGTTAGTGTTTTTTGTGTCATTATAAGTCTTCTTCGATTACTCTATACAATTTAAATGAAGTCAAGGCACATTGTTGATACACACTGGTGATTTTTTGATAAGCATAAGTCAGGTCGCTAGTGAAATGACCCAGGTCACACGTGAAGAGCCTTGTTATAGCCTGAAATCAATGAGATTTCTTTTTCTGTATTGTAGACATGGATAAGCTCTTCACAATTGACTCAGTGTTGAATATGTTGGATGAAAATACTCCACAAAGTGATCAGTTCTGGCCCGATGAAATACAGAATGAAGTTGAAGTTGAATCAAAATCGGTAGATCAAGTCATTATAGAAAGCCTTAAGCTGATTAATGAAAATGAAGATCCAAAATCAGATGAAGATTTTCCTTGTCAAGATGATGATGTTGATGACAGAGCAGATGAGACATACATCCCAGAATCAGAAACCTCTGATAGCGATAGTGATGAAAAACATGTGTCATTTCAAAGTGATCTTGTTCCGCAAGAGGTTCCAATAGCTGGCCCCTGTGATCAAGAAACAACAAGATCTAGGAAAAGAAAGCGGGACCCGTCTCAATGGCAACGAAATGTTCGACATCGCAGGAGGGTTAAAGGCGAGTCATATGTAACCCGTCGAGGGAAACGGGTACCACAAAAAGGACCAAAGCCAGTAAACTGTCTGAACTGTCGATTCAAGTGTAGTACGTTGTTTAATGAAGATGAAAGAAAACGCATTTGTGGTGAATATTATGCTTTGGCTGAAAATGCAAGACAGAAAGATTTTTTATGTAAACGTGTGAAAGTTTTAAAGGTCCATCAACATCGTAGTAGGCATAACAAAAGCAAGAAGAACAAATCATGTGAATACTCATTTGTGAAACACTGTAGCGAATATCGAGTATGTAAAAAGTTTTTTCAGAGCACTTTAAATATAGGCCATTCAGCAATCACTACAGCAATCACATCCATTGATTCCTCTGGCAATTATTCTAGCGATGATGGCACACCAGCAAAGACACCAGGGAACAAGATCAAGCCTGAAAGGATCGCAAATGTTAAGACCCACATCACATCCTTTAAACCTGTTGAATCTCACTACTGTCGGAAACAGACAAAGGCTCATTACCTTCAATGTGATTTGACCATCAGTAAAATGTATGATCTCTATGTCAACGACTTTTGTCCAAGAATGTCGATAAATGATCCAATCTCAAGCAGCAAGTATAGAGAAGTTTTTCTCAATGATTTCAACTTGAGATTCTTCAGACCTGAAAAGGATCATTGTTCCATATGCAATGGCTATTATAATGCAGTAGGTGATGATAAAGAAAGTCTTAAATCAGATTGGGAAGAGCATAAAAGGCGTGAAAATGAGGCCTTAGACGAAAAAAGGCATGACAAAGAACAAGCCAAATTAGACAAATCCTTCCGTTCAATATCATTTGATTTACAGGCCGTTCTGAATTTACCACATGCTGGAGACGCACAAATTTACTATAAGCGAAAACTCTCAGTGTAAAATTTTACAATTTATGAGGCCCACTCTTCGGATGGAATTTGCTATCTCTGGAATGAGTGTGAAGGGCAACGAGGCTCCTCAGAAATAAGCACATCACTTTTGCATTTCCAAAATCTGCCAGATAGCAGATAGCAGAAAGCTGTAATTTCCAAATTCTACCAAACAATCAACGAAACAAAAACCAGAGTAACCATATCTCTACCAACTGAAATGGACACTACACCTGCACCATCTAGAGCTACCACGCTGCCGATAAAAACCCCTAAACGAGCCCGAAGTTCACCTACTCCTAGTCCAGCAGACATAGGTAAACGCTCTCGTAGAGAGGGCACACCCCTTCTCTTTTCACTTTCAGACTCGTCTTCCCCTTCCACACCATCTGAATCTTCACCACGTGATCCAGGATCCGCCAACCTTTCTTCCTTCTGTGCGTTTTTGGACCAGCAAACCACCCCTCAGTCTCCATCCAAGTCGAGACATGTATCCAGACCTTCCCCTCCTCGAACCAGATCCCAGTCCGTTCCCAATGCTACAATTCTAACAACTACCAAACCAGTACCAATCACACCGTCGACGACCATTATATCCGCTACCAAACCGTATTATCACCAAACCAAGGACAAATCATTATGGAAACTACCTGCTCTAAAGAAATCAACCTTAATAATTGGATCATCTAACCTGAATCGAATTACCAAAACCAGTTCGGACACCGAAATACATTCTTACCCCGGTGCCCAAATCCATCACATACAGTCAATCCTGGAATCATACGACCATGATCCCAAAACTACTACCATTA